TTTTTTTTATAGAAAAAACAGTAATAAAATCCAAATGAAAACTAATAACATTCTATAAAAATAAATATTATTTTTTCAATAAAACTGGCGTTTTATTTATTAAATAATGTAATGTAGCAAACTATAATACTTTATAATTTTATTTTATAATTTTACAATGTTGATTCGGTCACCCATCCGATTGTCTATCTGTAAAAAAACAGCTTTACTTTTTCAAATTCTGTTTTTGGCAATATATATCAAAAAATCGTAATTCTTTTAAATGAGTTGATAGTATAAGCAGGTCAAAAATTGAGGTCAAGGCCGACGAGATTTTCAATAATATAATATACAAACTAAAGAGTGTTTAAAATATTAATTTAACAGAAATATTGTACTGTATATTTTAATATTTTCAACGAAGTTCTCCTAATAGTTAACTTTGTAATATTCGGTGTAAAGGGTTTACTTTCCGTTGGACATAGAACGCTTACGTTAATTTGTGAGGACACTTTATGTTTTTGACTAAAGCTGTATTTTATTAAATATTAAATCCAGGCAACTTATTTTATCAACAAGTTTTTTTCTCAATGTAGACTATAGCATTTACGTAATCTTTACAAAGGTGCGCTTAACACGCCTTCCAAACACTTGAAAGTGTTTTTGAATCATGCCTTGCACAACAACGCCGTCTCGGGATTTCACGTGCGCTTAATGAATGAATTTCACTGATTAGTCGGCTGATATGTGATATCGTTGGTATTACGGCCGCCTCTCGCACGATAGGAACGATTTCGTCGTCGGATTTCATTTGATGCGCTCCCACGGTTACGATTCGCTTCCCGCCTCTCGTCACATAGTAATGCCCGTACCACACTAGCGGTTGAAGATTGCATCTGTGTTCGCGTTTGCGTCTCTTGATCAATCAGAAAAAAGCTGTTGGTCAACAGGTCTTTTCTGATTGATTAACAGACGCGAATGTAGACGTAATTTCTAATAAATAGTCAGTGTGATACTGGCATAACCTACAGAATTATGATGCGATCGTAGTGCACGTTCCATACTTTCACACTTTCGTGAATCAATCCCAATGTGTATCTAATGAAACGTGATTAAAACTCTTCGAAGCCAAAAGTATAAATCAAAGTAATCGAGGAGTGAAAGTGTAATTGCTTTATTGCACAGAAGTGGAAATTCTCATAATGAAATCCTTGTCGCATCGAGATTTTCAAGAACGTCACGCACGCTACGAGATTTAGATAAAAAGAAAAATACGTCTCTTGAATAAGCTACGCATTACATTTCCTATTGTTACATGTAATTCGAAATACGCGATCTGTTTCGTTATAAATTATCGAGCGTTTCTTATCGTGCGCGCTAAGAAGTGGTTAACTGCACTGATATTTATAGCCGGTTCTTATATTTAAGTACGGATCTTAATCTTCCTGTCTGCAAATATTTTTACTGCTTCCGTCTGAAATCTAAATCTTTTTTGTCTAGCCAAGAGTCTAATGCAAGTTGGCCAAGTTGTTTTACTATTCTAGGCTTTCAAAAAATGTAGAAAAATTTAATTACATCTCTTTTTACATTACTACTTTTTAAATGTTATTTAATAAAAATTGAAATTTGAAATAACATAAGCTAATCACAAGTAATATTAGCACCTTAACATTAAAAGAATCAAATGATTATTATTGGTCACTACTCTTTCTATATTTATTAAATTAATTAAATATATTCTATGTAATAGATAGGGTTCTGAAAATTTGTTGTGAAAGCGCACTTTTGTACAGATAAATGCGACTCTACATTGAAAAAAAATGTTAACTAAATTAGACTAATGAAATATTTAGTTTTTCATTATTTTCTTAATTTTTATCATAATTTATTTGCTTAAGAAAATCTTGAAATAAAACGGACTATGAATACTGGCCTAAACTCCTGTCAATCGCCGACAGATCGAAGCACATTTATTCCCGGTGCGGATTCGAGGGGCATCTAACAGGGGCATCGGTCCAAGCCCCCTCTCTCGGGATCCGTTGTCAAAAATACGCAGGTCCGCAGCTAAAAATATACTCGTGAGCGAAAGTGTGTACACGTGGGGGGGGGGAGGGGGGGGGGG